GAGAGCCATTCTCCTCTCGGGACTGAAGACATCAAGGCAGCGGACCTCCAAAATTGTCAGAATGGGAAGCAAAAGTTCGGCAAGAGGCCTTTCTGGATTCAGCGTCCCCCGCCCCCAGATTCCCAGACCCCTGGATTCCAGCAGCGCACCATCTAGTACCGTCTCATGGTCAGCGATTCTGGTCCTGTATGGAGTCCTCTAAGACCCGCCCTGTTCCTTCAGCGGATTGTCTCCAGCTGGTGCCTGATGAATCTTCAGTAAGCTGTTCCTGGAAGACTGGGAGAAAAAATGTGGACTATTGGCATCGACTTGAAAACTCAGGAATTACATCTAAATGAGCTCATGCTGCTCGCATTGACCTCAATAAATGGGACAACAGTGCTACTAAATGAGACAAAACGCAGAAGGCATGGACGCTTCACCTTTTAAAGGCTCGACGCAAACAATGCTGGAGTGCTTCAGGCGTGGGGCTACATGCCGGGCGGCCAGACGTGTAAGTGCAGGAATGACCGGTGAGGAGGGCGTGCGCCTCTCCAGACCAAGCAGGCCAGGAGCAGGGAAGGTCTTCGGTTTGTAGAGTTCTAGCTCGTGTATTATGGGCTAGGTGGGTGTGCACTATCTTGTTAGCCACTCAATATTCCTATTAAAAGTAATATATGATAACGCCATGAAAATTACAGCATCAAACCACGTGCAACTGGAAAAGGTCCAAGTCCTCTGTTCTATTTTCAGCTTTTCCTGCCCTCCCCCTCTCCCTCCCCCCTCTCCAAGGGAGCCATTGTCCACCATCCAATGGGCCCTCTCATTTAATTGCTCCACCCTTATGATCTTAAGAATATTCTTTCCCTTTCATTTCCTTTCTTTGAAAATGCACATTGTCTTTGGTAGGTGCCAAGGAGTCAGTTCTGACTCATAGCGACCACCCCGCATGACAAAAGGAAACACCTCTCGGACCCATGCCAGCCTCACGGTTGGTACGTTTGAGTTCATTGTCGCAGCCACTGTACCAGTCTGTCTCCTGAAGGGTTGGTTTCCTCTTTTCTCTTCCCTGTCCATTGTGACCACCACTTGTCTGCCATTCTGCCCTACTATGGTGACTTGTGTGTGGTTGTGATTCTGGAAGCTGTGCCCCCAGTGTTTTACCTACCAGCAGGTGTGTCACCCACAGTGGACAGGTTTCAGTGGAGCGTCCAGACTAGGACAAACTCTGAAAGGTTACCTTGGGAACAGTAGTAGGGCGCTGTCTGCTAGAGTCCCTAAAGGGGATGAGCCCCTCGGGCTGCAAGGCACTCAGAATACGACTGGGGAGGAGCCAACTCCTAAAGTCGAGTTGACGGTGATGACGTGGATGGGATAAAGCCTTTGGGACCTTTGTATGCTGATGGGGCACAACTCACAATGACAACAACGGCAAACATCTGTTAATAATCAGAACGTGGAATGGATGAAACAAGAATCTAGGCTCATTAGAAGTCATCAAAAATGAAGTTCAATGCATAAAGGCCCATGTCCTAGGCATTAACGAACTGAACTAGACTGGCATCCACCATTTAGAATCAAGTGATCACATGATTTACTGTGCTGGAACAACAGATTGTGTTGTGGCATCGTATTCATCACCAGAAACAACATTTCAAGATCTCTCTTGAAGTACGAAGCAGTCGGTGGCAGGATACTATCCATATGCCTACAAGGAAGACCAGTGAGAGAAAGATGAAGCTTCCTGCGCCTGCAAAGATTTATAACCTCAGAAACTGTACAGATCATTGCTATGAGTCGGAACCGATTCCATGGCATTTAATAACAACCACATAAGGAAGACCAGTTAATACAATGATTCTTCAAGTTTTTGCACCAACCACCAAAGTAAATGATACCTCAATTGAAAAAATTACCAACTGTCGGGGTTTTCCCTCGACATAGTTGTCACGAGTGTTTGGTTCACGAGGAGGGGTGATCCAGCGGCGATAGGGATAGCGAAAGAATACACAGACAGAAGAAGGGAGACAATGAGGCACCCCAAAGCCAGGGTGGATACATCACTGGTGGGCAGGCTTGGGACTACAGGCATCATGGCCTCTGCAGGCAGCGACTCACTGCCCTGCAATCTTTACTGCATGCCTTCCAACCTGTAATGTACTGCAATCGTTACTACATGCCTTCCAACCAGTAATGCCCTGCAATCTTTACTCCATGCCTTCCAACCAGTAATACACACCTGGGGAGGCTTGGACCTCTGCTTTATTCAGGGGAGGAGCTTCACACCAAGCGGGGAGGGATCTTTACAGAAGAATGGTATTATTCAGACAAGACAATCTTTAAGATAAGTTAAGCCAGTAAACCTTACTTAAACCAATATTCCTTTCTTCCTTACTGGGTTTAACCTTCACTTGGATCAAACTGATTGAACCCAGGGTGGTCCGAGGGCGTTGCCCCCATTGTCCTTAATCCCGTATTCCCAGAATTTACCGCTCCACCCCAAGTGAATATACCCCGGGCAGTTCCTCTCCAGAGCCTCCCTGCTTAATCCCAGTAAACCTGTCCTTGTTCGTCCTCTGAGGAAGTTTTACTGCCTTGGTTCTAGGGGGAAAATCTTGACCTTAGAAATTTAGGGGAATATTGCATTTCTCTGTGGACATCCAGGGCTCATGTTTGGAATTAAATAAATATGACTAAACAATTTGATGAAAAACAATCTGCTATTAACTGCCAAGTGGCTTCATTTGTTACACTCGGGCCTATAGGGCCTTGAACCTCTGACCAGTCTTACACGGTCCGCAACAACCAACTTCTTCAGTCAGAAATTGACCAGACAAGCAATCAAGATATATTGATCATAACTGGTGATTGGAATGCAAGGGTTGGAAACAAAGAGGAAGAACCAGTAGTTGGAAAATATGGCCTTGGTGATAGAAGCGATGCTGGAGATCGCTTGAGAAAATTTTGTAAGACCTTTTTAAACAACATAAAAGGTGACTATACACATGGACCTCACCAGATGGAATACACAGACATCAAATTGACTACCTCTGTGGAAAGAGACTGTGGAAAAGCTCCATATCATCATCCAGAACAAGGCCAGGGCAGACTGTGGAACAGGCCATCAATTGGTCATGTGCAAGTTCAGGTGGAAGCTGAAGAAAATGAAAACAAGTCCACGGGAGCCAAAATAGGACCTCGAACACATCCTGCTTGAATTTACAGACCATCTCAAGAGCAGATTTGATGCATTAGATGCTAATGACTGAAGACGAGAGGATTTGTGGGATGACGTCAAGAATATCATAAATGGGGCAAGTACAAGGTCATTAAGAAGACCTGAAAGAAGGAAAAGACTGAAATGGCTGTCTGAAGACACTCTGAAGCTGGCTCTTGAACATATGTAGAGAAATGATTGGAAGGCAAGATGGAATAGGAGAGCTGAACAGAATGTTTATCAAAGGAGGTGGAAAGATGACCTGCCCTGTGGGAATCCACTCCAGGGCACAGAGCCACAACCACACCTGGCTGTCACCGGTCACGTGAAACACCAGGTTTGCCGACTAGCTAGCCCTGAATAGAAACCTCCCTCTCTGTGTGGATGATGAGCATGTGGACAGCCTGCTATCCAGCTGAGGTGACACGGTCTCATGTGTCAGAGCTGATTTGTTCAACACACATTTACTGAGCACCCGCTATGCGTACCCAGTGCCACGGCGGGGCATGAGAGGCCAGATGGGGAGTCTCGTGGGGAAGCGGCCCCGTCCTCAGCCTCCTGGGGCTTTCTGTCCAGTTGCCTTTCACAAGGCTGCCTCCTGTCTGCTGGGCAGCCCTGGCCCCTTATTGTACTAGGCCAGTCAGCTCCCTAAGTCGTGCTTTGGGGAATGCTTGGCGTTGGCACGGAGATGTGTGTATGTGTGGTGTGTTGCATATGGGGGACGGGTGGGGGTTTTAACTGATGGGCTGTACTGATGTTACGGTGTGGCCCACTTGCCACCCCCGTTTGCCGCCTTTGGTGTTGTGGGCCCTCGTTTTCCATGCTAGAAAGTGGAGATGTGATGACACTAATTAAAGACTTGTACCCAGATGCCTACTTCTGAGGCCTGGTGGGGAGAGGAGGAGCTCTTCAGTGCCAGCAGGGGGCGCTAGCCCCACTGCCCTCATGATGCCGAGAAAACCTCAGTCCTCGGCCTTCTGGTCTGTCAGCTGGGTGCAGCCTCGTCTCTCCCCACTGGTGATGTGTCTGTCTGTGGGCAGCTCCCCTGATTCTGCGCAAGTGCTGTAGATATTTGCAGGTGTTTTTTTCTTTCCTGTTTCCTTGTTACATTTTCCCCCGATCTCACAGTGCACTTGTGTGTTAGTAAGCCTTGTGTGTTTGTGAGGTTCGCTCCCTGAGCCGCTGGTGTGGACCCGGAGCGGGTCAGAGCCTGGAACAGACTGCACACTGACTGAAGGCCCCTGTTTGGTGGGTTGGATTCATCCTGAGCACCTCCTGGGTGAGGGTGCCGGGGAGTCCACACCTGCTGAAGGCTCAGGCTATAAAGGCGTATCGGGGCGTGCCCTGGCTGGAGACCAGCCTATTCACAGGTAATTACACCTGCTTTGCAAACATGGGAACAGGTGACACGTGCAGGTGACTTCCTGGGACTGGGGCTGCTTTGTGGTTGTGGAGGTTGTTGTCAAGTACTGTTGAGTTGATTCCCATTCGTAGCGACCCTGTATAGGGTTTCTGAGGATTTGAACCTCCGACTTTGTGGTTTGCAGTCTTGCAGTCCAGTGTTAATCCTACAGTGCCACAGTCCACCCAGTATCATCCTTTTATTTCCTTCTATGTTTTTATTTATTTTTAACTCTTTATTGTGGCTTGGGTGAACGTTCACGGAGCAAATCTGTTTTCCATTCCTGGGTGACTTTGAACGTCTCGTTTTTCCTTCTGTTTGTGGCACTGAGGGGCACGTGGCGACCATGAAGGGCACGTCTTCCCTGGGCGTTACTTGATGTCATTCTTTCTCTGTGTTTAGGGTTCGAAACCTGGCTGTGGCGTTGGATTCGCTCACACTTCTCAGCGGACGTCTGCCCGGAGATCTTTTGGGAGAGCCAAGAGGTTTAGCATCACTCGTTCACTGGATGATCTTGAGGTAACTTAATTTTTGTTACTTTTCCAAGTTTTTAACAAAAACGATCTTCCAGATGTATCCGAAGTCTCCTTAATATCCACAAGACCCTCCCTCTCCGCGGTAACCCCTGTCCCCCAGGAGGCAGGAGGGGAGGCCTCCCCATGTGCATTTAGACACCTTTGGTCCTGAGTGGGGCACACGATTTGCACTGGATGACTAACCCCCACCCAGCGGCACTGCGGAGGAAAGTCCTGGTGATCCCGGGTTTGGTTTGGTGTGTCTGCAACCGCCATAGTGATCTTTAGGGTTCATTTCTGTGTGCCAAGAAGCTCTGATGGCACTGTAGGTTAAGTGCTAACCGAAAGGTCGGTGGTTCGAACCCTCCAGCCGCTCTGCAGGAGACATAGATGGCAGTTGGCTCTCATAAAGATGGCAGTCTTGGGAACCCTACAGGGCAGTTCTACTCCATCCTACAGGGTCGCTGTGAGGACCGTGGGGTTTTGTTTTGTGATCTGCCTGCTAGGCTCTGTTCCCATCAGCCTCATGGACACCTCGAGGAGGGTGCTGTGGTCACCCCTGTGTCGGTGCCGAGCCCGCACACAGAGCTGCCTTGTGGCGGTGTAGCCGTCCAGTGTGTCCCACTCGGTGGCAGCATCGGTCCAGCATGCGGCTTCCGTTCTGTCGCTGGACCTGCCCTGTGTTCACCCTCCTCCTGTCTGTGCCTCTCGGCTGGGGCTGGACGTAGTCTCTCGTGCACTGAGCCGAGGTCCTCGTGCACAGCGTGGGGACGAATGTCCCTGAAAGTGGCCACCTCTTCCTGGGCTCACCTCTCCCCTACTCGGCACGAGTCCTGCTGCCCGCCTGCCCATGGCCCTGGGCAACCATGGTGTCCGCCAGGCTCTTCTGCAGTGAACTCCCACCACCCCTATCATGGTAACCCATGTGGTGCCCTTTTCTGTAGATGTCAATGAGCGAGCTCATGTGGGGTCACTGAGCCCGGCCCCTTTCGGAGGGGACTCTGTGGAAACCCCCTCCCTCAGGATCTCTCGGTGACTCTTCGGCAGTGGTACCAGGCAGTCTCTGAGGGGGCCCCAGGCCACATGCAGTCCCCTGCCCTGAGTGTGGGCTGGACCTGTGACCCGCTTCTAACCGATGGGGCACTGCACCTATGGTGGGGTGTCACTGATGAGTCTGAGCCACAGGGCGAAGGTGGCTTCTGGCTTCCCGTCCTCTCTTGTGGTCTGGCCTTCAGACCCTTCTAGGTTATGAGTGGTCCCACAGAGGGGCCCAGCGATCATCAACCCAGGTCTGGCCCTCTGTGGGACCCATGCCAGCCTCCAGGGCTCCTTGGTGCTTGTACACGGTGCCAGCCCATGGTAGCTGACACAGAAGCTGGATGTTGGTCGCTGTGAATGCTGGGTTGCTTAGCGCCTGCTCAGGGGCTGGGTTTGGAGGGCAAGACGGTGCAGGGAGAAGTCTTCGTTTTGCTCACTCCCCCTACAGCCATGCCTCTGTCTTTATTGGCTTTGTTTTGAGTTTTCGTTGTGAATTGGGTGCAGGTTTACAGAGCAGATCAGTTCTCCGCTCAGCAGTTGATTCATTTTGTTCCATCTTGTGGATTGCAGTCTCCGCAGTGTGGCCTCGCTCATGCCTCTTCCTCCCTGTGTTCCTGTCTCCAGTCTGCTGTTCCTAATCCTTCTTTGTCTTGGGTACATGTTCTGGGTACACGTGGCTGGGGATTCTCAGGGCCTGTTTGTCTTACCTCCCCTTGGAGGCCATGGAAGTGAGCTTGGTTCCAGACCTAAGGGTGATGAAGGGCCGCAGTCTCCAGTTCTGTTAGTGAGGCTGCGTTTGTTAGGATTTGCGTTTTGTTCCACATCATCCTCCCACTCTGCCCAGGACCTTCAGAGGTGACAGTTGGCTGTGGCTGTTGGGCGCCATCTTGTTCTGGTCTCGCGATCAGGTGGTCCCTCAGGCTGTTGCTAGGAGTCATTGGCTTTCCTCACTTGTCTTTCCTCCACACACAGAGAGAGCAGTCGTTGTACCTTCGATGGCCAATCGCGAGCTTTTCAGATCCCAGTTGCTACTCACCACAGTAGGGCGTAGCCCGCTGTCTTTGTGGACTGTGTTCTGTAACTGGCCACCTTCTCCCTGATTGTCCTGCCTGTAGTGTCCTGGCTCTGGACCAGCCAGCAGGACCCTCCATCCTCCTCTCAAGTATGAACCTGTTCTCACCTTTGGACCGCCACTTTTGGTGCGCAGAATAGACGGCGGGTGCTGCTGTTTCCCAGGCTCACACCGACTTTGGCTCACACCGACGTCTTGGGCTGACCTGTCTGTGAACCTAGTTGGACCATTCCCACCTCTGTCCGCTGACCACGGGGAGCTGACCGGGTGGCCATCTCTGGGCGCTGTGTTGGAGTGGGGGTGGGGCTGACATCCTACTCTGTAGCCCTGCCCCTGCTCCCACCTGGTGTGCACCTGCCACCCTGGAGAATGCTGCCCACAGGTGACCTAGAGGGTCTCGCCCTCCTGGCTTCTCAGGAGCTTTCTTGACTGTACTTTCAAGGCAGACTTGTTGGTTCTGCTGGCAGCTGATGGGACTGTCAGTATACTTCTCCAGCCCCAGTTCAGATACATCAGTTCTTCTGTGGTCTTCCTGTTCAGGGGCACTGGTGTGGCGCTGTAGGACAAGCACTGCAAACCCACCAGCTGCTCCTCAGAAATTCTATACAGGGTCACTATGAGTCAGAATTGATTTGAGGGTACATAACCAGGACAGACTTCCTTATTCATTGTCCAGCTTTCACATGCATATGAGGTGATTGAAAATATCCTGGCTTGGGTCAGGTGCATCTTAGTTCTCAAACTGACATCTTAGCTCTTGAACACTTTAAAGCGGTCTTGTGACGCACGTTTGCCTAATGTAATATGTCTTTTGGTTGCTCGCTGCTGCTTCCCCGAGTGTTGATCGTGGATCCAAGTAAAACAAAATCCTTGACAACCTCACTGAAAACCCTGTGGGATCATCTGCTGCATTTGTTGTTGTTGTTAAGTGCCGTCAAGTTGATTCTGACCTATAGCGACCCTGTATAGGGTTTTCCAAGGAGCAGCTGGTGAGCTTGAACTGCCGACCTTGCAGTTTAAACAGCTTTGCAGTCTGATGCATTAGCTCACAGCGCCACACCAGGACTCCATCCTCCTTAGCAGCTCCACTCCCAAATACAGGCGCCAACAGAGATACCTGCTCACATGGACCAAAAGACATAGGCAACAATTCAAAACATCATTCTTCAAAAGAACCCTAAACAGAAACAGTCTTGCTGCCTACCTACCAGTAAGAGAAAGGACACATGTGAGGGGTCTCAGAAAGTTGGAGGCAAAGATAATGGAGTTTTCTCACTCAAGTTTAGAAGTCCCCTGGCAGGGTGATTTGTTTGTATAGTGGACTGCCCTGGGTGGCCGCCTTCCTACCAGAAAGAAGGCAGACCTGCTGTATGAAGCAGGACAGTCTCACTGTGGTGTTGAGGGTGCCCACCGCAATGGCCAAACCACCAAGGAAGGCCAGACTGTCCCGTTGCTCCTCATGGAGCCCTCAGGCTGGAGATGGGGGCTCCCCAGTGCTCTGAGTCCCTGAGCCGTGTATTTCTGCGCTCTCTTCTTTTCTGGATTTGTGGAAACTGTCCGCATGGTGGCGTGTTTCCACCCTGTGGAGACACTGATGGAGCTGAGGTTTGGTGTAGTCAGGGCTCTTAGCTGGGATCAGAGAGCTAGGGTGGGGGTGCGTGTGAAGGCACAGACCCCGCAGGAGGGAGGGGAGGGGACACCCCATGGTGGGCACTTGATGGAGGAATCCTTGAGATAGGAAAAGACGCTGCAGAGGCGAGTCTTCGTGTGAACAAGGGACCTGCCAGGAAGCTTGTGGTCAGCACGTTGGGTCCTAGCATGGGAGGCATGGAGACTGTGCACTCCAGGTTCCGATGGAGAGGAAGGCCCTGGGTGGACGCTCCCTGTCACTACTAGGATGCCACTGGCAGAGTCCATCTGGGAGACTAGACCCTAGAAGCCTGCCCCTCCATGCTCACTGTGTGCAGGGCCAGTGACCCGCTGAGAAGGCACGGCACTTTCCAACCACTCTGTGCTGCGGTTTTGTCCAGGGAGGGTCCTCATCAAGGACAATGGACAGAGTACAGCTGGGTGGCCCATGACGGGACTGCGGGAAGGGCTTTAGGCCATTGGGCAGGCCAGGTTGGAGGAGGCATGTACTCTCAGCTGTCTGCACCCGCTGTGCTGAAAATCCTTGTGTTAGAAAGTGTGTGAATGTGTGTGTGTTGTAGTGAGTAGGAGAGGAAAGAGACCCCCATCTTCAATGATATAAGTAACATGCTGTTTAGTGTCTTTCCGAGGAGCGGCTGGTGAGCTTGAACCACCAACTTTTCGGTTCCAACCGACCTTGCAGTCCAGTGCATTTCCCCACAGTGCCCACACCAGGACACTTTATGAAGTCTTTGTTGTTGTTGTTGTTATGTGCCGTGGAGTCGATTCCAACTCATAGCGACCCTGTATAGGGTTTCCAAGGCTGTAAATCTTTACGGGAGCAGAAAGCCTCATCTTTCTATCAGGAGTAAACACAAAGACAAGTGTAGATCTCCAGGGTGAGAGCGCTCTGATGAATCTCCCTAGTCTCCACGTTTTTACCTTTGATAGAGTGCTAGGGGACACAGCAGTCTCCTCTCACAAGCTCCACACACACACACACCAGGCCTGTGGCGATCAGGGAGGGGACTGACCACTGCTGACAGGAAAGCTTATGGGCTGTCTCGGAGGTTCTTGGACACGCTAAAGGATGTGGCCAGGAGGGTCCCTGCAGCAGCCCCAAACCCACTTCTAAGTCGGCTCTGCTTCTGACTCTGGCAGTTCCACTGGGGTGTGAGGTGTACACAAGACAGATGGCGTCTGCAGACTTGAACCCTAGGCACACAGGCCCAACGCCTTCTGGTTTCATGCTCCATAGGATAAGT